ATCTTTTCTCTCTCTTAAAATCACTTTTTTTTTTTTTTTCTGGTTCATATCCATCAACCTACCAATTACACACCCTGGAATCTCCCACTAAGAAGGAAAGAGAAACCCTTCCATGAACTATAAGCTTCCTCTCCATCTACTGCCAATTTATTTACCTCCATTACAGGGGTAAGAAGTTGTATATATTCACGGTCTTCACTTTCTCACTTTCCTTCCTTCCCTCCAACCATTCCAATGTAGCCTCTATCTTGGACAAAACTCTTGTCAAAGAACTCAAGATCTTCCATGTGATCAAACACAAGTAACCATTCCATCTTCCTTTTGCTCAACTTCTCAATACCTTTTAAGGAAACTAATCACTCTCACTTTTTGCAAACACTTTCTTGCCTTCTGTGATACCACATTCTCTTGTTTCCTTCTACTTCATTTGCCATCCTTCCCAGTATCCTATGTACTTTGTCCAACTGCTAAATATTGGGACATCACAGAGCTTGGTCCTAAGCTCTGTTTTTTCTCAATGATCTTTCCTCAGTTTCATCTAGTCCCAAGCTTTAATTATTGCTGATGGCTGCTCAATATTTCCATGTGAATTTTTAAGAGTCATCTCAAATATTCTCCGCCAAGGCAATGTAATCTCCCTCCCCAAATACATTGATCTCCTCCCCAAATCCAACACAATAAATGGGACAAATATCTACATAGTCTTCAAGCGGCAAATCTTCTTGCTCTCTTACGTCCAAAACCAATGGCTGTCAAGTCCTATTCACTGTACTGTTGAGATATTCCTCAAATCTGTCCACTTCTCTAAATCTACACTCGTCCCTTTGAGCCATCATCAGTGTCATCTTTTGCATGGACTCTTACAATAGCCTTTCTCTTTCAAAACTTCTGCATTTAGATACAATCTGTCCTCCTTACCATGTCTATAAGACCATACAGATTTGTCTACTGCCCACTTGCTACTATCTTCCTTGCTCAGTGTACTTCTATCACATTTAAGTTTGGTATTTTTGTATCAGTGTCTTAAACCACTAAACTTGTTCCTTCTCTCAGAGCATTGCTGATCTATTATTTTTTGATGAGGCATCTTTCCATGGTTCTTTGCATGGCTAGATCCTCCTCCTTTTTCAACTCTTAGTTCAACTATTCACTTTGACAAAGAGGCCTGCCTCTTGTAATGCAACAACCCCACTACCAATTGCAGTCACTCCCTACTACCTTTTTACTTTCAGCTAATTATTAATTGAAAATACTTTATTCATTAGTTTGTTCACTACATAAATATTTCATATTAAAATACAAGTTCTGTTAAGAGTAAGAACTATTGGAATCGAATTCCCAACACATGGTCCATAACAGGTATGCAATAAGATGTGAATGAATAACATTTCATTAAATTTTTTTAGTTCTGTGTACCTTGAAGTTGATTTAAAATAGCTCAACTCATCATCAGTTCATTAATTCAACAAGTATTAAGTGCCTACACTGTCCTAAGGATAAAACTATGGCACACATATAAAGAAAAACAGTTCCTACTTCATGCTGATAGAGAAGACGGTGTAAGAAAAGATTTGATGCCAAATAACAACTCTAAAATTAAGGTCAAATTTTGGTGGAATTCTTTCCAAAAACTCAAAATCTCAGTCTAATCATTAAAAAAAAAACCCATCAGACAAACACAAATTCAGACACATTCCAAAAAGTATCTGACTAGTATTCTCAAAACTGTCAAGATCTTTAAAAAAAAAAGGGGGGGGGGCGGATAATAAGCTGTTACAGACCAGAGGAGACTGGAGAAATGTGACAACTAAATGCAATGTGATATCCTGGATTGAATCTTGGAACAGAAGGGCTTTAATGAAAACCTGGTAAAATCTGAATAATGTCTGGAGTTCACAGTAATCTACCAACGTGGATTTATTAATTTTGACAAACTTACCACGGTAATGAGCAGTGGCAAAAGCAGGGCAAAAACAAAACTGGTGAAAGATCTATGGGAACCCTATTCTGTAATATTTTAATTAAAAAAAATTTTTTTAATTTGTTTTGAGAGAGGGAGGGAGACGGGGAGAGGGAGAGGGAGGAAGCAAGGGAAGGGCAGCGAGAGAGAGAGGGAGAGAGAGACTCCCAAGCAGGCTCCACGCTGTCAGCGTGTCAGAGCTGGACACGGGGCTCAAACTCACAAGCCATGAGATCACGACCTGAGCTGAAATGAAGAGTCGAACATTAACCACCTGAGCCACCCAAGTGCACCCCTATACTGCATCATCCTAGAAACATCCCTGCAAATTTAAAACTATGCCAAAATAAAAAAGTTAACTTTAAAAAATTAAGGGAAAAAACGTTTCCATTCAGAACTATAAGACAGTAATGCAAAAGTTCACTTTTGTAAAGATTATGACATAAAAATTAAAATGAATACTATTTGGGCCAGAGAGCTTGAAAACTATGCACAATAAAAGAATTAAAAGAAACAAGTGGCTCTCATAAAACAAAATAAATACATGCAGTAGATAAATAATAAATATATTGCAATGATGGATAACATATATTTATAAATAAGACATGTTGGTAAATATTGACGAATGTTGATTTTTTTATCTTTATGTATCATGAAGGAATGGTTGGCAGTCAATATTTAATTATGCTCTATATGTTTATTTTTTTAACTTAAGAAAATAAATGACAAAAATAATCAAATGTTTGAGTTCACACTATAATTGTTCCCAAGCACTAAAAACGGTTTTGGCTTCTCTTTAACAATCTTGCATGATTCAAGATTTCATACAGTTGGTTGGATACAAAATGGTAAAAACAGTTGCTCATTTAAAAAGTTTAAGGACTTTTTCCAAATCTAATGTGAAGATAAATGTCAGGTCTCTACATCTAGATAGGATGAAATCCTTTGTGGCTGAACAGTGCTCCAGCCAAAAACAGGAAAGCCAGATTAAATTTAAAAATCCAGCTTAAAGACATCGGAAGGCTGCTGCTGCAACAATCGGTTGAGTGGGCTAAGTTTCTGAAATGGGCGATTTGAAGATCTGCAGTCTTTTTTTCTCCCTGAGATTTAAATATCCCGGCAAGGGGCTGGGAAGTCAGGCTTTGACTACACAGAGGGCTCCTGTTGGAGGAAGAATTCATCTAAGCATTTGGTAGTTGTGCAGGGCAGAAGTGACAAAATTAGAGATTTGAGACATTTTTCTACCTCAAATCATTTGATAAATCCCAAAGCTGTACAGGGCTTGAAATTAAAGTTAAGACTCTGAAAACTCTGAGAAGCATAATGGAGTTTTTCATAGTCTCACAATGCTGAGGAGATAAATATTAGAATACATGATTTACCAAGAGTAGAGTCCTACTGAATACACAGCTCTGTTTGGGAAGCCTCACCAAAAGTACATGGCTGAACCATAAGTAGACAAAGACTTAGCAAAACTTCCACGCAGCCTCCATGGGAGATAGTAAAGCATTTTAGATAATGATAGGAATTAACTGATAGGAAACATTTTATGAAGTAGGAGACAAAAGGGGCAATTGATTAAGTGATAATCTTAAGCAAGCAAGAAAAGATCAGAACTAGTATAGAAATAGCTTGTTCTTAAACTGGGGCATGTACTAAGAAAGAAATAAAAGGCACAGTATATGAGAACAAATAAGGGTAAGCTGGTGGACGCAATGGCGAAGATAAGCTGAAGCTCCTTTTTATACGCAAGAGGTGAAGTTAGATATCTGAGGAGAAAGAAGGGAGAAAAAATAGTCCTTTACAGTGGGAAGTGAATGGACCAACAAAAGACAAGAAAAATGCCAGGCAACACCAAGGCCCTACTTAAAGACAATGGTCATGAATTCAAGGATTAGCTGACAAATCTGTGTGACATTCTCCTGCCATATAAAAGTGTGACGGTGTAGAACAGGCAGTAAGTTAAATTTTTAAGGCTTAGGCTTTGTTTGGTGAGGACAACGAGCCAAAAGAACTGAAGCGATCTTATATGCAAATTGATGACAATTAGGTGAGCCATGGAATCTAAGCTAGATGAAGTGGGAATATGAGAGGCTTGAAGGACAGTAAAATAAGAGGTCAAGTCAATAGAAACAGGTGCCGGTGGAGTTGAAAACTTGCTAGTCAGAGTTATAGAGTAAGGGAGCTAGAAAGATAGTTAAGTAGTTGTCAGTATGACAGAAATATGATGTAGAGAGGAGAGAAATCCAAGAAGATGAGAGGCCAGAACAGCAAAAGGATCATCTACAAAGGCATTTATATCACCAAGAATTAAGACAGGAGTGGGCTGAAGAAAGAGTCATTGAAATAGATCCTAAGACATTCAAGAAATGAGGGAAGCAACAGAGGTGTTTATAAATGACTGCAACAGGAGTGCCTACTGGGTGGAACAATCTGATGCATGAGTTTCAAAGGCAGACATGCTCAGAGATGAAAAAGGAACTGTGATCTAAAAACACTAGTGGGGAACAAGCCTCCAAGTGCACTGGTGTAACTGCTGTGGGAGGAAACAGAATCACTACTGGAGAGGACTATAGTCAAAGCAGTATCCTCAGGGAGGTAATCAGGTTCCATTAGAGCAGGAAGGTGTAAATCATGTTCAGAAAATAATACACTAATAATTTGATTCATTTATCAATGTTTACTAAAAGGCACTGAATTAGACACTGGGAATAAAACAGTAATAAAGACATAATCTCAGCCCTCACAAAACTGTGACTCAAGTAAAAAGTCTCATATAAAAGTGATTACGTTAAAGAATATAAAGAATATTCTTTTTTTTAATATAACTAAAATTTTGTAGCAATCTAACAGTTTTATTATGAAATGTGGATGCATGTACTCAAAGAACAGTGGAACAAAATTTGTGACTATTTTAATATATTTAATCATCGTGGTATTAATTATGTGCTAAAAACTAATTTGAAGAATATGTGGGGAAACATCACTTTTTAATGGTAAAGAAACAGGGGAAAATGCTTTTACAGATACATGCAGTTACCTGAGACAAAGCAGCATCCCGTTCTTCTATCACTGCATTCATTTCTTCTGCTGTTATTCTCTTTTTACATTCCTTGGTCTTGTAGATTCTATCCACAATTACAGCTCCATTCTTCTGAATAGCTATCCCTGTGTCTGCATTGTTTATTCTGTTCAGTAATTCCTGTAATGTCTACCAACACCATTATATGTTAGTCAGACATGAAGTTTTAATATATTTTATTTAATATAGGGTTTTAATTAATAGGCACATGTGAATTGTAAATTGACTGAGTGAAGTTATTGAATTTTCATATTGCAGCAAAGATGTACATTATTAGTGTGTCAATTCTTCTTTTTCCCACATCTTAGTTCTTGAAACCCACTCAATTGAACTTAAGCCTCTAAGATATAAGACTGACATCAAGAAATCTCCTCAGAGAATGGCTTACCATGTCATTTTCTTCAGGGTTAATATTTTCTAGCCTAGAAAAAAGGGACACAGAAAGCCTGATCAGTAGCATTTCCTTAGTGCAGCAAAATGAGTTCGCTTTTTAAATCTTTAGAACCTCAAGTAATTTCATTCGACTAGTCTTTAGAGTCAACCATGACACTGAACATATTAAAGTGCCACCTGCTCGACTCCATCTTTCAATAATGCTCCATATCTTCTGCGCTGACTTCAGACTGTTAAGTTATTAATGTTTACTGCTATATATGACTACAAGGATCAATTGTTCATATGTGCTTAGATGAGGAAAGTTCCCTAGTGATAGAAACACTACTTCTCATCATTATATTTATTCCTGGACTTTCAATTCTTACCAAAAACTGTATTTCCTCTGTTTTTTGGACTTCATCACAAATAAAGCAAGGCAAGTATTTTTATTGCAAAGTTTAACTATGTTCCCTCAAAAGCAAAGACAAATAATTGCAACTAAATTTGATCTGAAAATCTCTTGTGCTACCTATTTATTGAAACAAATATATCATACAGAAAAGCTGACCAAAACTGGACCACAGTTTTAGATGACTAATGTTAATTTCTCTTTTTCATTACATATATAGAATTACTGAATTTAAAGAGTAAGAAAGTAAATTGTTTCCTCTCATAAATGTATTTTGTATTAGAAGAGTTACAGTGCTTCCTGAAATGTTTTTTGACGTTGGTATGTAGGAAAGGCAAACGAATGCAGGAAAGGCAAAGAAAGAAGCTCTAAATGACACGTTTTAGAAAATGTCTATAATATAATTTAGGCAACTATTAAATTGGGTAAATTAAACAAAAATTGGTAATGGGTATTAGTAGAATGATGTAGATTTTAGAAATGGCTCAATTATATTAAAATTATATTAAAAAGTTTAGATATATAGAAGTTCCTGTTTTCTCATAGACTCCCTCCCCTATTTCTGGGCTATGATTTAACATTTACCACAAGAAAGCATACCTGGGAAAGATAATACAGAAACTTTTGTTTGTTTTGATTTTTAAGATAATACAGAAACTTAGTAACTTTATTACAAGATTGTCCCAAACTTCACAGTTCAATGAAATTGTTACATTCACAGAGAGAAATTTAGAATATTGCATTTTTTACAGGAAAAAAATAAACATATATCAAAAATCTATTTCTATACACACTTTAACAGTGGAAGGTAAAAGGATGGTATAGTAATATTTGAATTATATATACTTAATGGATCTCAAAGTAGTAATGTCCACTTGGATTCACATTTCAGTAAAGGCAAATACTTTCACCTTTTATTTATTTCTCCCAAAATAATTCAACAGTTTTCAAATATCCTGCTTCATAAAAGCTGGTTCTACAAAAACTCTGAAGACAATAATTTCTTTTTTACTCAATTCAAGAACATAGTGAAAAGTGTAAGATAACAAAATTCTTACACTTTTTTATGATCATGTAAAAGTATTTGAAAGGCATTTAACCATCAGTTATTGGTCGGCTAAATATCATTTTTTAAGGAAACCATATGTAGTGAGAAACTTTGACCTTAATGTTCTTTTTAGATGAAATCAGGCTAAGAGCCATTTACAGCAGTTTTCAAAGAGGATTCAGTTTAAATCCTTATAAATTTCAGAATTAACTTAATAAACTCAATAATTTAAAATGTGAAATGATACATGAAACTTAAACATTTAGATTAGTAGATTACTGGAGACTCTTAAAAAAATTTAGATCTCAAGGTTAAAAATCCCCTTCTTTTTTACCAAAGAACTACATATGATTAGGAAGAAGACAACAATGTAGGAAGGTTGCCTAATTTGTACCTTCAAAATAACTAACACAACAAAGAGTATATGGAATGTCCATGTGATACCTGTAAGCTTTTATTTTTCAGGCATTGAAAATTATTACTTTAAGGAGAGACAAAGGAAGATTCTGAATGTTTTAAATTAACATCTTTCTAGAAGATATGGTAAATATAGTTGTATTTAGTCTAATATTAAATTTCCCTGTTAACAACTAAAGTTTAAAAAAAGATAAAATCTTATTATCAAAGGCTATAGTCCTTTCCACATTAACATTACAGCTATAAATAATGTACGTAATTGCCCTTAGAAGTACATAATGTATAGGGATTTATCATTTTGCTGATGAGTGAATCTGAATGAATCATGTTTGGTTTAAGGGCACCAGGTCTGACATGCAGGGCATGAGGTTTAGCCAACCACTTAGCATTTATTTGGATCTCAATTTTGCTTTATTATTATCCTTTATAATTGTTCTTAATTTTGTTCTATGATTATCCTTTGTAAGTACGGTGATAAATGGTTACTAAACAGACCACTAAAAGAGAAAACTAAAACTCTACCAAAGATGAGCAAATGGTTAATTTGTCATTTAAAAAATTACATACAGACAAGTAACTTTCAATATAAACACGAGGCTGGAAAGAGAAAAGACTAGTATTTATATTTCTGTTTGTATTTCTTTAAAAGTTTCAGAAGTACTTGTCACAGATATCAAGAATTAATTATATCATAATTTAATCTCAACTAGGTTACTTACAGCAGAGATCCACAAACTTTCTGTAAAGGTTCATATAGTATTTTAGACTTTCGTTGCATGTTCTCTGTTGCAGCTACCAAATATTACCTATGTAGTACAAAGTACCCAAAGATAATATGTAAATGAACAGGTGTGGTTGTGCTCCAATAAAACTTTATTTACAAAACCAATTGAAAGGATGGGGGTGCACCATAGGTCCTTACTTTGCTCATCCCTGATGTAGAACACTGAAAAATGAGACCAGATCTTTAATGTTAAAACTATAAGTACAAACTATGACATATTTTCTGAACTGGATCATTCAATATCCATTTGAAAACTAACCACCAAAAAGAATAGATTTCAGAAAATAAAATTCAGTCTTATATCACTTACTGTATTACTTAAGAAAACATAAAAATTAGACAAACTACCTTTTAGAAAAAAGAAGACAATTTGAAACCAGTAAACCAGGCTTTCTATTTTCTATATAAAATGACTTGTTAGAGGTTTATGGTTTACTAGTAGCATATACAACGTGTAAAGCTTTACTGGTTTAATGAAGACTTACAGTAATAGCTGATTTTATAGAAAATACAGCTGACAAACTATAAATTATTTATCATTAACGAATATTTATAATTATACAAAAGAACCACAATCTTTTGGAAACTAAATTATGCTTACAACAGTCTAACTAGACATAATCATGATAATTAGTAAGAATTTTGCTGAAGTAAATGTCTATGGGCTCAAGTTTCAATTGATTTCCTATACAGTGCATATTCTGACTGACACCCTTGCACTGTAAGTAAAAACGCCCCTGCATGAAATGTCACATTTCTTGATTTATCCCTAGATCAGTCAATATCATGTCTTTCCTTTCTGAACCAATAGTCATTCACCTTGTTCATTGGGAAGCAGCTACACTTTGACCTCAAATGATAAAAAGAACTAGTGATCAGCTAATGAAAAAATGCTGAATTTGTTTTTATTCTCTCTCATTTTTACACAAGACTACCTTAATATGTTAAAAAATATACTGTAGAGACTGAACACAATTATCATGATCTCAAAAGTTGGAAAATACATACACAAACATGTCTAGATTAGTACATAATTTTAGTCATTTTAATCTGAATCCTTTTTACTTTTTTCCCTAGTTTTGGATAAAAGAGAAAAAGAAAAAAAAACACTGAAGATTCAGGGTAGGGAAAGGCAGAAGTGGAAGAATATAAAACAAGACATATCACAGAGAGATAGAAGTGGATCAAAAGTGGCAAAGATGAAAGAAAAAAGACAAGGAATTTAAAGATTACAGGAAGCAAGAAAGGAGTTAAAACAAAAAGAGATGTGAAACAATGTATATTATTTCAACCTACAATTCACTACCTCCAAATATGCCTTTCAGCCAGCAAAGCTCAATTATAAATTGATTCTATCTTAATAAAGATTTTACCTAAAATGCACTATTGAGGGGCACAGCCACACCCACACTACTGGGTGGCTCAGTCGGTTGAGCCTCTGTCTTCAGCTCAGGTCATGATATCACAGTTCGTGGGTTCAAGCTCTGCGTCAGGCTCTGTGCTGACAGGTCAGAGCCTGGAGGCTGCTTCTGGGTCACCCTCTTTCTCTGCCCCTCCCCTGCTCATGCTCTGTCTCCTCTCAAAAATAAACATTAAAAAATAAAATAAAATAAATAAAATGCATGATTGACAGTTCAGAACTACAGCCGTCGATTGAGTAGAAAGGAACATCCTCAGTGACATTTAAAACGATGCTGACACACTATTCTCTTGTTGTTCCTCCTTCTTATGTATGATTTTTCTTAGACTATCATACTGGAGGAGCTGACTACAAACTGTGGCTATGACACAATAATTATTCATACCAATTAATATTTTAAGTATTTATGAAGTCATTTATTTAATGCCTATCTTCTCAACTAAATTAGGACCATAATGCTGTGTTCTGAGGAACCTGACACAGTATATATTCAATAAATATTTACTGAGTGGACTAAATAACTAAAAGGCTTGGGATTGAGTGCTTTCTTTCTTGCCTTCCCCATTACTCCCTTAATACAAATGTTACAAAGAATAAAATGCAAAAGGCTCTGCCTCAAGGAATTCTGATTTCAATGTATTATAATAAAAATACATATCCAAATCAGACAATGAAAGGTAAAAAAAAATAGGGAAGAAAATTAGGCTCAATTTAGATCCATAAATTAAAGAAAGAAAATGAACAAAACTAAGACAGCAAATTAACAGAGGATCCGAGGAAGAAGTTTTGATTTGAATATGCGGGCAGATGTTTGTGCCACTGATCAGGGCAGGGGATCAAGGGAGAATAAGGTTTTAAAAATGAATTAAATTCCATTTGAGATATGCTAAGTCTGAATTGCCTGTGTAAATCTGAGATAGATAAGTCCTACAATGTATAAATGACTTTGACTCTTTGGACAAGTGGTCA